GCATGTTATTGTTTTAGACAGGTCTGAGCATCCTGTACTCCAAAAACTGCAGTGATATTAGACAATTGTGTGTGTAGGATTAATTACCTGTCCAAGAGAAAACTGGCAACTTGAGCGTCACTTTGAAAACCTTTTTCCTCCATCAGTGACTTCCATCGTGTAAATGCCGTGCCAATGTTGATCCGTGTTTTTTGTCGTTTCTTGTCACGCTTGCGTTTATTCTCGTCGTGTTTCCGCTTCTTAGATGACGGGGGTTCGGTGTCCGCCGCTTTTCGTTGTGATACAGAGTAGGCATGATCCTCCATTCGTCTGATGTTTGGCCACACAGTGCCAAACAGTTTGCAAAGTCACTCACGCCTGCCGCCTTTGTTCACCTTTCTTGTTACTGATGCGCAGTATACCTGCTTCTTCTTCTTCTTTGGTTTCAGGCAGACTAAACGCTTCTCAGGCATAATACTGCCATCTACTGTTCAGTACCGTCTCAGTTCATCTCTCTCAACTTGCCGTAGTTATTTTTGAGCGTCATGGGAGATCTCGCAATCGCTAGTTTGTTGCCTCTGCGCTTGCCGTAGCGCAAAGATGTCAGCCTCCATGGCTGCGAGACCCGCTCCTATGTAATTATAAATAACGAATTCTAAGGCAGCGCAAATATTATGGTTAAAAGGCTGAGCTCATAGGTGATGATAAATAACATAGTTATGTATAATATATTAAATTTCTGACTTTATATGCCTGTAATTATTACACACTGTAGCTTTAACTGAGTACAGCATAGCTTCACTTATAACCAACATTTTAGGATCAGCTCAGTCCAAACAAAATGAATCAATGCACACATATCGTATCTCAGGACGGTTCCCTGTCGGTGGTGACAAGTTCCCATTTTTTTTAAAGGCTGCGTGCTGCGCCAGCTCTTTGTCTACTCTGACTGTAACATTATCCCCTTTTCCATTGCCACTCAATAGCTTGTGTCTTTTTATAAGTTTGGGGCTTTTGAAAGCGCAGGTAGCATTTGATACACATTTACCCCGGTAATTTTGCTTTTCTGGGCTTTATTTTTCCGGGGGAAGGGTTGTTTCACTAAAGACCTTGCTCTTTCTATTTTTCCTGTGACTTGTTTAGGGTTGGGGTTTTGTACAGCTGCGGGGCTTTGTTCCACCAGTGGGGGTAGACGCCAGTGAGGGTGCATGTAAAATTTTGTTTTTGTACCTTAAGTTTATCACATAAATAAATCAGGCCAGTGTCATTGCTTTTGAGTCTAACCCATAAATTAAGTGCCACTTGACAATAAGATGTAATCCAGTGAAAATGAGTCTCTATAGCCTAGATATTGAACTGATAGCAGTTTGTTTTTGTCCATGTCGTTGACCTAAAGAGTTAACCACTGTTGTTTTGGCAATTGTTTACATTCCACTTTCTGTTAATGCCATCACTCTGTGTGATATAATATTTCTTGTTGCTAACCTACAAACAAAACAGTCAAAGGCCGGGATTTTTTATCATGCCTCCCTCTGCTACATTCCCAACATTCCGACTGTTTGTCAGCAGCTACTAGAGGGAAAAAAAATAACTAAAAAATTTTAGACTAGTTATTTTAGGACTTATACATCTCTAAAGTAAAACCTCCTCTTGGGAGTTAAGATCACAATCCTGTTTTTCTCTCCCCTGCATTAAAGAGAAATGTAAGGTGATGGTCACAGGAAGCTGAAGAAGCTGTGTAAGGTTGTTTTCTGACCATTCCCACCAAAACAGTGAATTAGTTCCCTAAATATAAACCCTGGGAAATCAGTAATCTGAAGGACCTGCTAAAGATTTAAAAAAGAGCCTTCAGGGTTGGAGACAGTTAATTTTATGGAGCTTAATATAAAGCTAAGCAAATATTAGTCATTGAGTGAGCACTGATCACAGCGCCTCGTGTGGACATGGAAGTAGGGATGTTTTACATTTGAGGACAAAAGAATGATTTGCACCCCTGATCTCTATTAATTCACTGGATTACTGATATCCTGAAAAAAGTGAAGTCACAGGCCGCCATATTGGTACTCCCTACTCCCACGAAGACACGCCATAAAAATGCCTACGTGTGTAGCATTTGGCTGCAACAACAAGCAGTTTGCCAGCTGTGGGAAGATGTTTCACAGGTAATTTCACATTCAGTGGATGTACTTACCAAGAAAATCCATATATACACTGATGTATCCCATAGTATGTAGCTTAATATTAGTCTTGTTATCTCGGACTGACTCGAAGATATTGACTGAGTTAGCCATCGACATTGTGTCTAACATTAGAAAATAGAAAGTAAATAGAAAGTAATTAACTGTAAAATGTAATTGTAGTAATTCTTTATTAAGTTAACAATGTCGAAGTTTTTGTAGTGTTTGTTGTATTTCTCGTTTGAAAAATTCATGTGCTGTAACATATTGCATGTTATATCGACGAAATAAAAGCAACTCAAACATTTTTAAAGGCTAATGCACAGACACGGCATAAAAGTATAAAGCATCATGCATGCACAATTTTCAAATAGGGAATTAATATAGCATTTTAAAGACATGTACTTGTAATTCAGTCTTGATGTGAAATCTTGAAATTATATGTAGTACGTAATTACCACAACAATGTCATCAATACATGTATATATTACGTCTACATCATCAATTAATCAATTTTAGCACATCTGTATTATTGTGCTCCATTAACGCCTTCATTTTGTTGTGATGGATTTGTATAATATGTCATATTACATGATTTATAGACTTCATAAATTACAGTAATCTTCTTATGCTATGAAACAGCTAGGGTGAGTCAAAGTGATTAATTTATTAATTATTATTATTATTACAAATGTGTTAAGCCCTCCTGAAAATGAGAACATCATCATTGGTTGACGCTGTAGCGCACTTATTGTTTACATTGCGACCAGTCTAACTAGGGAGTACCAATATGGCAGCAGATGGCTTCACTCCACCCTGTAATACCAACCCTGTACTACCAACGAGATCAGTGTTTGTCACACTGTATATTCATTAGTGGATTAAATCATATGAAACAGATCCGAATTACAATGAAATAAACAATAAAAAATTAAGCTTAAAATTATTAGAAAGTCTTTCAAGTCTAGATTAGTCTGGCTATGGGTTATGAAGCAACCTATAACAAAACAAAATAAAAAACCTAATGCTGTTTTTAATTGTACCTCCACACAAACGCCTTCCATCTGCTGCTCCCCCCCTTCCAAGTGCTACCGTGCAGCAGCGATTTTTCTACTTAAACTTGAAACAGAAAGAAAGAAAAAAAATATTTAAATGATAATAATTATTATCTAAACCAGAGACTGCTGCTGTTTTTTTCACAGTTTTTTCAAATGCATACAGCCTGCCCCATCTGTTGAGCGTTTGGTTTTAAATAAACAAATTTAAACAAAAAAATAAAAAAGAACAGTTCCTCCAGTGAACCCGTACACTTTAGATTAAAAAAATCTCAATCTCTTAAAAACCAAGCAGTAATAATAACAATGGATAACCACAAAGAAAGTTTAATCAAGGAGGTTCGGAAACACAACCACTTGTACGACGCCTCAGACATGTTGTTTTGTAAAATAAACACTCCCGCCGGCGCCGCCGAAGAAGTTCTCGTGAATTCTCGAAAAGGCTCCCCCTAGTGCTTTGGTGCGAAACTGCTGTGCGTCCCTAGAAATTCCAGACCTATGTTGCAGAAGCATACCAGCAAAACTGGTTCGCGACCAGGCGCAAGCGACGTTTGATGTGTTCGGGTGCAGAAGTATAGTAAGACAGCGGAAACATGCAAGAGGAGGATAGTTTTGTGTCGCAGGTCATGGATGAGTCTCCTCTGTCATAGATTTTTTATTTAGAGGAGGAAAGTGGGGACGAAGATGTTGTGGAAGAGGACGCCAGGGCGGCAAAAGCTTGGTTTGGTGTAGAACGCTTCCAGCCGTACATGTTTGAGCCCTTGCCTCGCAACGCTGCCAGTTCTGTTAGCTCTACGCCTGCCGAAGACACAGACATCCATCCCCGTGAACACTGGGACGGAACTCAATGATAAAGTAAATGATTCTTATTTCTTATTTCAACCGTTGCGTATATTAGCTGCGAAATATGAATCTAGATGCTATGACCGAAAAAATTTGATTGACAGATGACATATATGATTGGCCAAATTTACCATTCACCATACCTTTAAACTAACTCTCTAAGGTTAAAAATGGGGCTCCCCCACATTAGGACCAGCCTCTGCTCCACATAAGGCCTGTTGGTACTCTGAAGATTATTAAATATTAACAAAAACGGTCCTAAAAAGCTAGCATAAGCAAGAACATGCACATATACTGTACACACACACAAACAACCAAACTTGGGTTACTTGCAGGTGACACACTCCTTCTGAGAGACACCAGCTCAAAATGCACATAAGATACACTGATGTAAGTTAAAGACACATTTAGCATCCCTAGAAGAGACCTAGCAATCATGACAGTTGACTCACAAAGCAGGTAAAGCATGGATGCTGAGCTTCTTACTACTGTTCTGTGTGCTATTTACATTTCAGAGGCGCTTCAGCAAACGAAACATCATCTCAGATTTCAGATTGTAGTTTTTCCTGATGGAAGCAGGATTAATAGTGCATTGCCCGAGTGGTGCTGTTATAGTTAGCCTTCCTTCATAATTTCTTATGTCTATGATATCTATGCTTATTTTTGACTTTTTAGTTGACTAAATGCATGTTTTTTAAAGTTTTTTATTTTACTTTTGGATTTTATTCACTCAGCACTGTAGGAGAGGTCAGAGACCTATTTTTAGGCCTGATGGAAAAAAGAGTTTGTTGAAAAAGACTGCCCCCCTGTAAAAAATAAAATGACCTCAGTTATGACCTATATTTGCTCCTGCAGCTGCATCCGTCTAAACTACTTCTGTGTCAGCAGAACTAGTCTCACAGAGCATTTTATCTTATAAAGTTAATATGGAATGTCTGCCTCTTACCACATCTTTAGAGGTGTCATTCTCTGGCGTCTGAAGCTGCTCGGCGGCAGCGGGATTGTTGGACGGCATGGCAGGAAGCAGATAAAGAAAACCAACTTTCTTAAGTTAAGATACTGAGCAGATCAAAACATGGAGAGGGCCCTCAGAAACACCAGGGGCAGCTTCATTCAGTCGGCAGGGCAAAGATCTCTCTTTTCATCGGGCATCACCCTCTCCTGCAAGAAAAAAGAGAAAAACACATCATGAAACTAACAAACCGACAGCATTTTTGTTTAAAGGTAATTTACCAGGTTTGTTTAAAGCATCAATCTCTCCCTCCACTCCTGTTACTCTCACCTCCCTAGTTCAACCTACAACTCGCTCTGATGCACACAAGCAAAGAGATACTGAATCTCAGAAGTCACAGCTGTAGATCGATCTCTTTGAGCTGCAGTTGATGGACAGCAGCAAAATGAAATATCCAAACTCTAAGCTGAAACAAGCAAAAATGCCCACAGGTGTTCCCTGGAGAAGCTAATAGAGAGAGTAGCTCAGCAGCTGTCAGAAAGACTGATGCTGCAGTGCATAAGCTGTCTCATTTGCTAAACGAAATGGCAGTATGAACCCATGGTTTTCCAGTTTCCAGTAAATTAAAAGAATCTTCTTCATATCTCTGATATAAACAAGTGAATGATTATGACTTCTCACAAATGATTCTATCACAGGGCACATTGGATCATATGAAGGGAGAGCAGCCCTAAAGGGAGGAGAAAACGTTCAGAGAGAACTAATTTTTTTTTCTATTAGCATTAGTTTGTAAATGAGAGACCATAAACCATAAGGGTTGAAGGGAACGTTGTGGCCATCCTACAAACAATCTATTTTTGCCCTGAAACTGACCGACTGTTTTGTTTGTATTTATTTTCGGCAGATTTTTTGGCTCACATAAACCATTTAGCATGCATGTTTGTCAGCCGTTTCATCAGCAGCCTTAGTATAATCATTCATTTCTGTAAAAAAAAAAAGAGAGAAACTGACATAAATCCTGCTTCACTCAGTATCTTCTGTCTGACGTCCTACTTGGCTGGGGAAAAAAAAGAGTTCCGGTACACTTCATGAACAGTTTCAAACATTTCCAGATATTTAATTCTTCTCTTAGCTTAACTTAAAGTATAACTCCCTCCTAAATTACTTGTTTTCTGCAAATAAACTATAAACTAGGGTTATCGCCTGCTACTTCAATGCTACTGCGCAATCTTTTACATTTTCATGTGAACTTGTTTAGCTCTTCCAATTTTGTCTTAAAACTGCCTCACTGCTGCCCTCTTAGGGTTGAACGCGTGCTATTGCAGTTGGATTTACTTATTGGCTCAAACCATACACTGGAAAAAATCTAAACCTAGATGAGCAATTTTTTCTTAAAATAAGTGCATTTGTTCCTGAATTGAGAAGTTAAAAGAGACATTTTGCCAATGGAACAAGACAATTTACATTTAAAATAAGAAAACGCAAATGCATTGTCTTATTTCAAGTGCATTTTATCTAAATATCTTATTTTAAGAGTAAAAATACTCATTTCATTGGCATATCATCTCATTTACCTACTCAAAAAAAAGGGTAAATACACATATTTTGAGAATTTTTTACTTATTTCTAGATCGTTTTTCCAGTGTTTTTGCCTCTGGTATAGGCTTTCTTTGTCACAGCTTCTCTAAACTTCCCTTTAACCTCTGGGGTCAAGGGTGGTGAAAATCCCTCACTAACTACCACTGTCACTCAGTTAACCTCCATGCTAAAACATGTCGAGGCTTCCTTAAAGTTTCCCTCATTCAGGCCATAGACATGAACACATAGACGCCTCACTTGTGGGTTGGCCATATGCAACGATAAGTCAGAGCGTACACCATCTTTGACGTTGTGGATCTGCTGTGACACTTGTTCAGTATTAGAGGGATTTTAATTTTATGATATAATGTATATTCATAATATAAAAAATTTATTTTTGTAATTTATGGGTTTATTGTCATATTCTTTTGGCTTTACTCTGCTAGCTCGAAATCTGAAATAAACGGTTGTTTCTCAATATTACAGCTTTTGTATTGTTATGTTTTTACTCCATACTCCCTTTTTTCCCCTCATTATATTAGTGATTTTAATTTTCCTTCATTGCCTCAAAAAAATACCAAAAAATACCTTAAAATACCAGATATTTTAAGGTTCACATGTGTTTAAAAGATTGAAATAATTAACCCTCATAATCCCATATACATTTACATTACGATACATGGGAATTTACATTATTTCCCCCAAAGTTAGTAGCCTGACGTAGTCCGACTCAATTCTAGTCAGAATATGAGTCTGATACTGCTCCATAGAGCTGTGATTATGGGGCGTGTTTCGAACGAACCAGGAAAAAAAATGCCTCTGCACTCAATTGGATAGATCTACAACCAATAAGAGCAACGGAGTGCGTGACGTATGTTAAGCGAGGCATAGCTGTTGTCCACAAAAATCAAAGCGTGCAGTTTCACGCCTAGAATAAGAAGATGAGACTTGATCGCGTTTCTCTGTTCCTCTTTTAAAATTAATTTGCTGTCGATATCTTCTAGAACAGACCTAATAGCAGAATCTACTCACCCAAACTCTCCAGCGGCAGCCATTATTGTTGTCACCCAAGCGCGCTTTGGTCACGTGGTTGATTACGTTACTCTTGATCATCTGTCCATCGTCGTATAAAGCCCGCCCTGACAATTTGATTGGATCGCCTGACAGTGGGCGATAACTCTCGCGCTACTATGGAGCAGAGCCAGACCGAACTTCCCCGAACTCATACCTTGTGGGCGGGACTAAGTTCGGACTGGCACCCAGGCTACAAAGTTAGCAAATTCAGGGGATAATACTGAAATATATTTTTTCTTTTAATCAACCTGTGAAAGTTTAATGTCAGAAGATCTGGTTTGTACTATAAGGTTTCTCCATTTTAATACAGACATCCTTTCTGATCAGGGACCTCTCCCTACAGCTCCTCTCTGCCACATTTAAAATGGCGGTGACGTCGACATACAAGCCAGCTGTAAATGTACAAGAATGATCTGTTCTTAAAGAGAAAACCAGACCCCAGCAGGGTTTTGGATCAGAGTGACTGCAGGAGCTGTGATCAAATTGTGTTGTACAGTATGTCACTGCTCCCACTTTGGCCTTACATCACCTACTGTAAAGGCAGGCTGGAGTTGCTAATAAAAAAACAAGGGCGGGGGCTTTGCAGAAATGATTGTATATAATCCATCACAGCACCCCTGGATTTCCCTATATGAGTTCCAGGCTGCAGGCCAGCAAACTCCTCCAAGTATAAAGTATTTAGGTCACACGCATTCACACGCCTTATGCTCTTACAGAAACTTACTATACACACACACTTTTTATACTATACACACATTTAAATTGTTCCAAGCAACTTGATGGCAGTGGTTTAAATTAGACGTAGTAAGAGGCCCAGGCAAGAGCCCGCAAGAGTGGAAGGAGAAATTGTTTCACAGCAGTTGCGATTGACTATACAGCAAAATCCTTTCTTTCACAATAAAAGAATTGATTTTTCCTCCTAAAATTTTCTGCCAAAGCTTGAACTTCTATATCTTTTACAAAGGATAGAAGAGCTGCGTGTAGTCTGAATATTTCAGGTTTCAGTAAAAAAAAATAAAAATAAATAAATTCTATGGTGTTTTTTAATTTATATAATGCAAAATTATAATCAGTGCTGCCATTGATCTGTTTAAGTACATACATTTTCATTCAAACCTCAAATACTAAGGACATTTGAAACCATTTCATTAGATATTTTAAATGTACCTTTTATCCACCATTTTGGTAATAAGGACAGTTTGTACTGCCTTTTATAACGGAGGATTTTGTGTTTTATTTCTTGAATGACACTTTTTACTACATTGATTTTTAGAAGGACCCCTACAACTGTCTTGTTCTTGTTATACAGGCAGGGGCAGAGCTAGAAGGGGGGCCAGCGGTGGCCATGGCCACCCTTACCCAATCATTGGCCACCCCTGTGGCCACCCCTACCATTTTTTACCTCTAATACAGATAGTGGCAGCAGTAATACTCTCAAGTGGAATGTTCCAACTTATTTAACATTTTAATTTTCTATATGTAAACAAGTAGCTGACAAAAAAAACACTGTGGTTAATTATGCAAATCAATATACTAACATTTAAGATAAATACAGAATTAATTTCATTTTTCAGAACTATATCTTGTCTTACATGGGGTAAAGAGAAAAGTATGTCTCTGCAAGTAATCTAGGAATCTTCACTGAAATCAGAGATAAATAAATACTTTAATAATAATTAATCTATTTAATGTAGATATTAGTACATTTAAATATTTATTTTATGCAGAATGAAATATTAATAAAAGTAGGTAAGTAATGACAATGACTAAGATGTTTGCCCCAGGACTAAAAAACTGAATGAATTTTGTCCACTACACCTTTAATTTTGAAAGCATGGATGTTTAAATATATGTGTCTATTTGTTAGCAAACGCTGTAGGAAAGTATAGTTTGTCTTTATTTAGAAAATATGGATGTTGTGATTGTTCATTTTCCTGTTGGAACAGTGTAGATTGACCCTGAGGTTCTGGCACCTATCCGCTTTCGGGCACCCCTCAGTGTACACTGGTTATTGCCTGGCCACCCTAATAATAATATTCTACCTACGCCTCTGTAAACGGGCAATGTTTCCCTAATTCTAAAGGAACAATTTATTTTGTACTTTGCTTATAAAGGGGTCTTCACATTCCCTTGTGTTTTGTAATAACACATTTTATTTTATTTATTGTTTTTGACAAACGTAGGGTATTAGATCCCTAAAAAATCTTCCTTTACTTTTTGCAGGAAAATGTTAATATTATTAGCATATTTCTTATTTACAATATAAGCAGCTATGCTTCAGTTATAAACACACATGAGGAATTTTAAGAATGGGTAGAGAAAGTCAACTGAATGCCTCACTTAGCTTTTATTTTAAGAGTTCACTGTGGAAGTACAGTTGTATTTGCTGATCCCATACTTGCCGGGCAGAAAAGCTCCATGACAATTAATATTGTGATCGACCTCAGGCGGCCTTTGCTAGACAGCCTTTATAAACGGGTCTAATCCCAGCGGGGCTGTGCGGAGAGCCAGCCGCTGCTAACAGACACGTGTCTGCAGAGACGATCAGCTTTAGTGGGTCAGGTAAAGGGAAAAAAAGGAGAAAAAAAACACGGGGCCGCGTTTCACACCGAATGCACCCGTTAACCCTGAGAGGCGCGCTCCCGCGGGCTTCCATTGGACAGCTCCTCGCGCTGATGTGTCTGTCTGCATCTGCTGGCAGCGGAGGACGGAGCATTGCCAGGGGGCAGGCGGAGAGGTATAGGGAGGCTGCGAACCAGGCGTGTTTAACACCAGTCCAGCAATGATTGAAGGTTGTCTGGTTGCTGGGATTTTCCATTAAAAAGAAAAAAAAGAAAAGAGAACCCTTTTCAAGTTCACTCGCTCTGCGCGCGACCCTCTCTGCCTTCACATCATCTGCTTACCAACGCGTGTGAGCGATAACTAGGAGTGAACGGCAGCTAGCTTAGAACGACTGAAAATGTAATGTTTTATATTTAGCCTACCGTGTCCATCGTCTCTTAGTCATCCGGACCCTGGCGGTCGTCGCTCTCTCTTTCTCTCTCTCCCTTGTTCACTCTTCCTCCCCCCCCCTCCCTCTCCGTTCTACCGGGTCTTCTCGGACTGCTCGCGCGCACTCGAGCCGCAGAGGTTGATTTACCGCTGGGTCCTAAAGCTCATAAATCCACGCAGCAGGCATTAAAAAAACATTCATGGCTGGTCCTCCTGTATCATTAAAACGCAGCATTAGGTGCGCAATTATAGAAAGATTTTTTTAGACTGGCAGAAATCTTACTGCGCCCACACCAACCGATGATGGCTCCGTCTCAAAGATTAGCTTCGCACATACAAGGCGCATTACGGTAATAAAGCAGTCAGGACGCCAATCTGAGCAGAAATGAGATTAAGATGAAATTAAAACCGCGAGCGGTATTGACGGCCCTCGCAGCTCGCACCGCCTGGTATGTCGCGACCGCGGGAACCAAGCGACCGCCGGCTCCACGCTCCTTCCCAGCCTATTCTCCTGCTCTTCAGCCTATGCCTGCTGCTGCTTCCCCTCATCCTCTTCATCACCCTGTGCTGCTCCTCTTCATCCTCCTCTTTCTCCGCTCGGCCTATCGCGACCGCGGGAGGTGAGCGACCGCTGCCCCCTTGCTCCTTCCCAGCCAGCGGAAAAAGCGCCACGCTTCACCTCTGGACCAGCCGGAGACAACCACAGCTTTGGTCAGGAAGGGTTAAACTAGGGATAAAAGATAATATCTGGGGATGAATCTCATCTGTCAGATATTTGCTGTAGCAATCTCAGTTGGTGGGTCAAAAGTATATATTCAAAAGATGGAGAAACAGCACTGCCAAAACCCACGGTTAGCGGTATTACACCCTACTCAAAACAAAAAAAATCATTAAAAAATCCATAGTTTGCAATAAAATCCCCAAAAAAATCACAAATGTCAAGGAACACATCTTGCATGTCCTAGATTCTTTTTTAGATGATTTATTAAATAATTCAAAGAAAGAAAAATCTTTAAACGTGAATGCCTTATACTGCGGCAGTTGAAAAATATATCCTGGCATTATCTGTCCACTTGACCAACTATTAGGCAAGAACGCAAACGTTTGAAAAATCAGAGTGACAGACTTTAAAGAAGCGCTTTGCTATTGTAACCAGCTTACAGCAGGCTTTGTAAAGAACGTATTTTGAAAGTTTTAGCTCATTTGGATAAAAGGCTAACTTTATACACTTTTTTGAAAAGAGGTCCGTGATTTCACAACAGGGTGAAATGTAATTCAAAATGGCCGACTCTACTCAAAACAAAAAAATTCATTAAAAATCTATAGTTTGCAATAAAATCCCGAAAAAAATCACAAATGTCAAGGAACACATCTTGCATGTCCTAGATTTTTTTTAGATGATTTATTAAATAATTTAAAGAAAGAAAAATCTTTAAACTTGAATGCCATATACTGTGGCAGTTGAAAACCCCATAAGATGCTCAAACATGCATAGATTCACGCCAAACTCGGCAGTCTTTTCTATAATCAAAGGATAAATAACTGTTCCAAATTTGGGTAGGATTGCTATAAAACTTTTTGAGATACAACAATTTCCTGTTAACACAAACTTTTGAAAAATCAGAGTGACGGACTTTTAAGAAGAGCTATGCTGTGTTTACCATCAAACAAGTAGCGATTAGAGGAATATATTCCAAAAGTCCTAGCTCATTTGGGAAAACAACTGATTTTTTAGAAATATTTTAACATAGTGATTCTATTTTCATAAGGGTACCGTTTGATTCAAAATGGCCGACTTCATGAGAGGTTTAGACCATGGCTTCAATGAAACTTTTTGTAGGTGGAGAGCTCATACAGATGTGTGCCAAGTTTCATTATCCTAGGAATGAGCATGGCTAGGGGCTGAATTATTTCCTGGCATTATCTGTCCACTTGACCAACTATTAGGCGAGAACGCAAACTTTTGAAAAATCAGAGTGACGGACTTTAAAGAAGCGCTTTGCTATTGTAACCAGCTTACAGCAGGCCTTGTAAAGAACGTATTTTGAAAGTTTTAGCTCATTTGGATAAAAGGCTGATTTTATACAATTTTTTGAAAAAAGGTCAGTGCTTTCACAACAGAGTAAAATGAAATTCAAAATGGCCGACTTCCGGTGGGGTTTAGACCATGGGTCCAAGAGGCTTTTAGTTAGGGCCTGATGAGGTGCAAATGTGTTCAAAGTTTCAATATTCTAGGACTAAAAACGGCTTGGGGCTGGTGGTTTGAAGTTTGTTATTTCTAGGGGGCGCTGTAGGAAAATTAAGCCCCGCCCACAAAATATTGCTCTGGATTCCTGTTTGGAGTTGGACTAGGATCATCTCTTGTGATTTTGGTGCAGATCTGATTATAAATGAGGAAATGAGAGCCAATCGTATTTTCATGGCGAAACGCCTCACTTCGCCATGGCACCACGGCAACACCATTTGACTAAAGCTCTCTGTGCCTTAAACGAAGTTAGGACAACATGTTGTCTGTCTGCTGACACAGTTTTAGGTTGATGAGGTCAAGTAGGACAGAGAGGGACCATTCCAAGTAAAAAACGTGACTTCCGGTTCTCAGGGGGCGTGGCTTCAATTATGTAACAGTTTTAACATACAGTTTTGTTGGGAACCGAGAGAGGATTAATACTACCAGGTTTCGTGTCATTTCAGTTTCATATGTAAAAGTTATTGCATTTTGAAAATGTTGGCGAGTACGCCAACTTCGAGGCCTGGCCACACCCCTTTAAAATGCTGGAAAACTCAAAAAGTTTGATAAGTTTGGATCTCACATGCCTTATCTGCATACATGCCAAGTTTGAAGCCGATGGCTCACCGTCCCTAGGAGGAGTTCGCGAAAGTTCGACGTCAACAAAATTGAAAAAGTGCCAAAAATCGGCCTTTGAGCCAAAATGGCCGACTTCCTGTAGGTTTTAGAGCATACCCATAATGTAACTTTTTTCATGATTTGGTGAGATCTATGCACCTGCCAAATCTCAAATCTCTGTGACTTACGGTTTTCCCCAACTCACGTTAGGCGGCGCTGTAGAGCCATTTGGCCACGCCCATTTTGGATTCCATTATCATACGTAAATTTCACTAGGGGGACAATTTACTGCCAAGTTTGGTGAGTTTTTGAACATGCTAAAGCCTCCAAAATGCTGTTTCTTTTACGCGGAGAAAAATAATAAATAATAATAATAATTAAAACCGCGAGCGGTATTGACGGCCCTCGCAGCTCGCACCGCCTGGTATGTCGCGACCGCGGGAACCAAGCGACCGCTGGCTCCACGCTCCTTCCCAGCCTATTCTCCTGCTCTTCAGCCTATGCCTGCTGCTGCTTCCCCTCATCCTCTTCATCACCCTGTGCTGCTCCTCTTCATCCTCCTCTTTCTCCGCTCGGCCTATCGCGACCGCGGGAGGTGAGTGACCGCTGCCCCCTTGCTCCTTCCCAGCCAGCGGAAAAAGCGCCACGCTTCACTTCTGGACCAGCCGGAGACAACCACAGCTTTGGTCAGGAAGGGTTAAACTAGGGATAAAAGATAATATCTGGGGATGAATCTCATCTGTCAGATATTTGCTGTAGCAATCTCAGTTGGTGGGTCAAAAGTATATATTCAAAAGATGGAGAAACAGCACTGCCAAAATCCACGGTTAGCGGTATTACACCCTACTCAAAACAAAAAAAATCATTAAAAAATCCATAGTTTGCAATAAAATCCCCAAAAAAATCACAAATGTCAAGGAACACATCTTGCATGTCCTAGATTCTTTTTTAGGTGATTTATTAAATAATTCAAAGAAAGAAAAATCTTTAAACGTGAATGCCTTATACTGCGGCAGTTGAAAAATATATCCTGGCATTATCTGTCCACTTGACCAACTATTAGGCAAGAACGCAAACGTTTGAAAGATCAGAGTGACAGACTTTAAAGAAGCGCTTTGCTATTGTAACCAGTTTACAGCAGGCTTTGTAAAGAACATATTTTGAAAGTTTTAGCTCATTTGGATAAAAGGCTAACTTTATACACTTTTTTGAAAAGAGGTCCGTGATTTCACATAAGGGTGAAATGTAATTCAAAATGGCCGACTCTACTCAAAACAAAAAAATTCATTAAAAATCTATAGTTTGCAATAAAATCCTGAAAAAAATCACAAATGTCAAGGAACACATCTTGCATGTCCTAGATTTTTTTTAGGTGATTTATTAAATAATTCAAAGAAAGAAAAATCTTTAAACGTGAATGCCTTATACTGCGGCAGTTGAAAAATATATCCTGGCATTATCTGTCCACTTGACCAACTATTAGGCAAGAACGCAAACGTTTGAAAGATCAGAGTGACAGACTTTAAAGAAGCGCTTTGCTATTGTAACCAGTTTACAGCAGGCTTTGTAAAGAACATATTTTGAAAGTTTTAGCTCATTTGGATAAAAGGCTAACTTTATACACTTTTTTGAAAAGAGGTCCGTGATTTCACATAAGGGTGAAATGTAATTCAAAATGGCCGACTCTACTCAAAACAAAAAAATTCATTAAAAATCTATAGTTTGCAATAAAATCCTGAAAAAAATCACAAATGTCAAGGAACACATCTTGCATGTCCTAGATTTTTTTTAGATGATTTATTAAATAATTTAAAGAAAGAAAAATCTTTAAACTTGAATTCCATATACTGTGGCAGTTGAAAACCCCATAAGATGCTCAAACATGCATAGATTCACGCCAAACTCGGCAGTCTTTTCTATAATCAAAGGATAAATAACTGTTCCAAATTTGGGTAGGATTGCTATAAAACTTTTTGAGATACAACAATTTCCTGTTAACACAAACTTTTGAAAAATCAGAGTGACGGACTTTTAAGAAGAGCTATGCTGTGTTTACCATCAAACAAGTAGCGATTAGAGGAATATATTCCAAAAGTCCTAGCTCATTTGGGAAAACAACTGATTTTTTAAAAATATTTTAACATAGTGATTCTATTTTCATAAGGGTACCGTTTGATTCAAAATGGCCGACTTCATGAGAGGTTTAGACCATGGCTTCAATGAAACTTTTTGTAGGTGGAGAGCTCATACAGATGTGTGCCAAGTTTCATTATCCTAAGAATGAGCATGGCTAGGGGCTGAATTAT